GTCTATATATATATATATATATATATATATATATATATATATATATATATATGATGTTTAATTTGCAAACCACGTTATTCGTATAAGCCTTATTCAATTAATTATAATTTTTCATTTTGTAATTATGAGAGGTTGATTAATCATATTTATTTTGGAGTATGTTAATCATGGATATTATCATTTTTATTATATTAATTTTAGAGAAATACATGAAACAGTTTCATTAAAATTTTATTAGTATTATATTAATTTCATCACCATATATGAAACAACTTCATCAAAAAAAAGTTTTATATGAAACAATTTCATGAAATTTTTTTATAAGATTAAACAATAAAACTGATGGAAGAGGGTGGTTCGCATGGTTTGTATAAATATAAGTGATTTGCATTTGATCGTTTATATATATATATATATATATATATATGTATGTATATGGTTTCATTTGTAAGCGTCTTATTTGTAAAAAAATTGTATATTTATTTAAGTTGTAGATTAACGAGTAAAACTAATTACATCTATTAATGTCCATAAAAAATTAATGTGGTTATTTAATGAAAAAACTCTGGAAAGAGTGAAATGGTCCATAAATTATTAGTCTTATTCGTTGTATATAGATTAAATCACAAAAAATATGGACGCTTATCAAAGTCTTGAAACTTCACTACTACGGTTACCAATTTCATAAAACAACAAGAAGTAGACTTATGAAACAATTCCATCACGATGAAAAGTACATGAAACAATTTAATTTCCATATAGAAACATAAATACATGAAACATTTCATCAAGAAAAAAATTACATGAAACAATTTTATCAGAATTAAACAATTTCATAACACAATTACATTAAAATGAGAAATATATAAAACAAATGAATTTTCATATGAAATAATAAAACACATAACATAATTTCATGGGATATTCATCCTATTTCAGGATCTATTAATTTTATTTACAAAAAATAGACATAATTAAATCACTGATAAAAAGAAATAAAAATATCCAAGAATAATAAAAAAAAAATTCCATAATTAAATGGTTAACATTAACAATATAAAAAAAAAAAAAAGAAGTTGATAATTGTCATAATTGTCGGTTAAATAGTAAAAAAGACAAATAGTAAAAAGACAAATATGCCCCAAGTTGATTTTTATTAATTATAATAAAAAAAATACAAGGAAATGACATAAAAACCAAAAACCCGAATATAAAATATAAAATGATGAAAGGATAAATCTTGGATTAAAACCGTGCTTTCTTTTTTTTCAGTTTTCCCTTTTTCAAATTGAAATTAGCAAAATAGAAATTTTATTTCAATATACGGTACTTAAAAAACAAGAAAAATTATAATTAGTTTTAACTAAAATAGTAAATTACATCCAAATTGCTGTCATAGTAAGCAAAAAGTAAAACTCAAAAATTAAGGCGTAACGACTAAAGGCTAAGGTTCTATTTGTTAGCAACTTAATAAGTTTAATGGAACTAACAGCTTATTCGCTCAATTATGCACGACTGTTTAGTGGCTTAATGATATAGAAAGTGATTTATTTAGTAAACTTCTATGGTAGCTTCATATAAAAAGTCAAGTTTTTTTTCCCTTCTAAACATGTCCCTTCCGACCAAAATAAACGTTCCCCACATCTGAGAGAAAACTCTCTCTAACAAAAACTTTTTCAACTTATACAAACAAATTAATTAATATAGATAACTTTCCAACTTTTTCCAACGATGTGCATTCAGTATTCATCACTACTAGGTTTTGGGTCTGTTTTTATAGTTAACGCTCAGTTGTCCAAATCCCAAATTATTAAACTCAAAACTAGTAACAAATGACAGTTTGATGCCCCTTTAGGCTTTGATGCCCTATATGACCGCACAAGCTGCACGTGACCAGGGCTGGCCGTGACCTGTTTCTGTTTTTAAAGGGTTGGATTAAATTCAATTTTATGTGTTTCTCATCACACACACATCTATTATAGACTTATCTTTTTATATTTATAATATAAAATAAACATTAAAAAATCAAATAAATTTAATGTTGTGGTGGGTAGGGCTGTAAACAAACCGAACGAACACGAACGAAGGTTTGTTCATGTTCGTTCGTTTAACTTAATCGAACAAACGAACGAACACGAACGGTAAACGAACGAAAATCTTTGTGTTTGTATTCGTTCGTTTAGAAATAAGGTGTGTTCGTGTTCGTTTATGTTCGTTCGTTAACATGCTAAACGAATGTAAACAAACGAACATAAACGAACGGGCTAAACGAACATAAATAAATATTATTTGAATTCAAAGTATATAAATAAAATATTATATATTAAATTTAATATATAAACGAACGTTCACGAACATAAATGAACGAACGAGACTCTTGTTTATGTTCGTTCGTTTAACTAAACGAACAAAAAAATTGTTCATGTTCGTTCATTTATTAAATATACGAACATAAACGAACTTTCTGCCAAACGGTTCGCTGAACGTTCAGTTCGTTTACAGCCTTAGTGGTGGGAGTGGAGACGACGTTGATGTTGACACGGGGGCTTGGATGAAAAAGACTATTGGTATGAAATGCTTACGCGGCGTCATCTGAATGGATGTGTCACAAGTGCTGAATGCAGGTGTTGTGAATATGGATTTTGTAAGAAGACATGTGAAGCTTCCCAAAAATGGGTCCTTAGCTTTAAGATACAAACTAAGAATCTTTACCTGTCTTCAAGCTAAGCACCCATTTTTGGTTTTCTTTTCTTAATATTGATTACCATATTTTTCATATCTAACTTTTTTTTCTTTACATAAAGTTCGTTTTTATAAATAAAACGAACTTTTAGACTTTACATAAAAAAGTCAAGTTTTGTATAAATTTTATACATAAAACATATCTAATTAGCAAAAATAGATAGGTCTTATTTTGACTATTATTATTATTTTTTAATAATTCTAGAAAAATAAAAAAATTATGTATAAAATTTAATAATATTGATGATTTTTTTTTAATTTTATAGTATCTTCATGTTTATATTTTATTAAAAAATAAAAATATTTTCTTTTTTTCAAAACCCTATAAAATTGTATTACTCATCTAATTATTTAAAATAGATAATTAGAAAGAAGATTAAAGGATTTTATCTTAGCTATAGATTACTATCAATAAATATTTAATAAAATATTATTTTTGTCTATATAATATTTAATTTAAAGATTTTTATTGGTAGGAAAAAAATCATTTTTCTTTTTTAAGAAATTATTTTTATGTGAATGGGAGATTTTTTATCATTGATCTTCTACTTACTTTTATTTTAGAGAATTTGATGAAATAAAAAATTAACACAAAATACCAATGTATACACACATAAATATATATATATATATATATATATATATATATATATATAGAGAGAGAGAGAGAGAGAGAAGGGGGGGATCTTTTACAAATTCAACAAGTTACTACAAATTATACAAAATATTAATTGAGATGTTTATAGAAATGATAAGAATTTATTTATTACGATTTGAATATTTATGAAGGATTATAAGCGTTCATTCAGTATAATCAATGCCTTATATTAGGTAATAAGCAAGATATTCACTGAATCAGATATTTATTAGATTAGATGAACAGTTGAAATTGGTTTGTATTATTTGTATTGTACTAATGATTGGTTTTATAAATGAAACCACCTCTCTCTTTATATATATATATATATATATATAAAGAGAGAGAGAGAGTTTGGTTCAAATACAACCCATCGTATTTGTAAAACCAATGCAACCCAATAAATTGAAATATTTATGGAAATGATGAGAGTTCATTTATTATGATTTGAATATTTATGGAAGATGAATATGGTTCATTAATTATGATCAACACTTTATACTAGAAAACAATCAAAACTTCTATGAAATCACATATTAATCAAATGAAATGGACGGTTGAGATTGAGTTGTATTGGTTGCACAAATATCAAAGGTTGTATAATAACCTCTATATATATATATATATATATATATATATATATATATAGTGTTATGTTTCACAATTGTTATTTATTTATGTCTGTCACTAAATAATAACTCACATTAAAAACCAATTAATCATGATTAGTTTTTTTGCTTTCTTTTCATACACTATTTAATAAATCAATTATTTATAAAATTATTAAAAAAAGAAGTAGAATTGTAATTTTTTTATATGTTTAAACTCGTGAGTTACTAATAAATTTTTTTATAATTTTAAATTAATTTAAATATTATTGAATCAGTTTATTATTTTAGGCTTGAACTTTATAAATAATATCAAAATCAATCTTTATATTTTAAAATAGTTGGGAAAAACACATCAAACATGGTTACTGATAAAATTAAACATTATCATTTACTTACAGGGTAAGATTTTAGTCCATTAAAACAGTATTTTATACATCAATTTACCTGATAAACGCTAACCATGGTAAAAATTGTCGTTCTTACTTACCCGGTAAAATTTTCGATTTTTGCCTTCACTCTTATCGTGTAAGATTTTTTTGTATGTATCTGATAAGATAATTAAACACTTACCCAAATAAAGATTTGGTAAACCGCTGCTTACAGTAATCGATCAATCCATCTTATCCGTTATATTATAACTCGTACTAAAAGATTATATATTAATTAAATCTCCTAAAAGTTATAAATTGTTCAGAAATGTCATACGGGTTCACATGGTTCTGATCCCCAACTATTCATTGTTGGGAAAAGAGAAGGGAAACCCACCATCCATCTTCTGTCTGACACGTGGCATGATCTGGTTTGATACATACCACCAACTTCGACTATATAAACCCCCTCGCTCTTCTTTATCCTCTATGTTCCAACTTTTTAACGTGAAATAAAGCGGTTTCTGCTGAGCGTTTCTCGTTGGTTTTCTTTCTCCTCCAAATCTCTCATTGAAGCTCGCACTTCCATATCTGGTGTGCACTTCTTCTGAGTTGATCGGTTGAGAATCGTAAGCAGAGGTTTTGATCGTAATCTGGGAGCTCAGTTCGAGAATTACAGGAAAATCAGCTGTTTTCAAGGTGAGTTTTATGTTGGGTAATTAGGATTCTTGAGTAGTTAGTATTGTGTTTAGCTGATTATGATTTGAACTGCAATCATTTTTTTATCAGAAGTTTTGAACTTCTGCGTTGTACGTCAGCTTGATTATCCTGCTCTTTGGTTTTGCTTTTCTAACTGATTCGGAGGTGATGGCGTCGAATACTATCGACGCAATTAATGCATCCTGTAGTCTCGAAAATTATTGCTGAATCAGATAAATTTCGGCGCTTAATTTTGATAGGTGTTCCTACTAAGGATATTTCAATTAGTTCAACGCAAAGCTATATTCCTTAGAATTGCTATTTATATATAGGTGGTCATGAGGTTGAATCCCTTTAGATAGTCGATGTGGGATAAGGGAGTATATATATATAGAGGGTGATAACGTGAGTTGGCTTGCTTGGTCCATGATATCATTGATTTCATTACATGATTTATCTGTTTATTTTGAGTTTTTGTGTTAGTTTTTACTAAAAAAAAATATCTCGAAATTAACCAAAATGCTGAAAAAATTTCTTGGATGTCAATCAAGAAAACCAAAAAATTCACTCGAATCAACCGAGAAACCATAAAAATCCATTGAAATTAACCAAAAAACTTGAAAGAATCCCTTGAAATCAACCAACGGTTTGACATCAAATGTTCAGACCAGTCAAATCAGACCACAAAAAAATCAGTTTGATTTGACCGATAGGCGGTTTAGGCCTTTTATGGCTTTAAAAATGAAACTTAAAAAACATATATAATTTATAATTTTAAATTAGATATCCATTTTAACAAAATAAAATATCCGAACAAATAAATATAATAAACAAACACTCAAGTCCAAAATTTAAACGATCCAAAACAAATAAATATTAGTAAGCAAACAAAGCTATGTGCCTGAGCCCACGGCTCCATAGTGAGCATCTTTTTAAATGTTGAGTTCTTGACCAAACAAAGTGTAGTGTTTAGGCTTTATGTTTGCTATTAGTTAAAAAATTTGGGCTATACTAAATATATATATATATATATATAATATATTATAAAGTATTTGACAAAAACTCTTAAAAACCGCTTCTTATGTGTAAAGTACTGTTTATTAATGCATATTACTTAAAACTCAAGATTGCAAGTAGATTGTGCGTAAGTACAACTTATTAAAGCTTCAATCTGAATTCGCATAACTAACTGCAGATAAACATAATCAAATACAGGATAAACATCTCATTTTAAAAATAAAAAATCTAAAGTATAATTAGGATAACCATTAAATCCTAACATAATACTTAAATATTATCTTTATAAAATTTATAATATTAAACCAAAAATAAATCATTTTATTATTAAACTTAAATTAAATTATAATAAAAAATAAATTAAAGAAATTACATAAATAATGAGAACTTCTAAATAGTTGATTTGATATTAACATTGATATATTTTTTTTCAAATTTTTATGGTATTTTCAAATTTATAATTTATTCAAAAATAAAATCATTATTGCTTTCTTAAAAATACATAATCTATATCTATACTATATATAAAACATTTGACAAAAACTTTTAAAAACCACTTTTTATGCGTAAAATAGTGTTTATTAATGCATATTACTTAAAATCCAAGATTGCAAGTGGATTGTGCGTTAATACAACTTATTAAAGCTTCATGTATGAATTTGTGTAACTAACTGCGGATAAACATTTCATTTTAAATATAAAAAATCTAAAATATAATTAGGATAATCATTGAGTTCTAATAGAATAATTAATTATTATCTTTATAAAATATTATATTATTAAACCAAAAATAAATTATTTTATTAAAAAATAAATTAAAGAAATTACATAAAAAATGAAAACTTTTAGTTGATTTCATATTAACATTGATATATATTTTTTAAATTTTTTATGATATCTTCAAATTTATATTTTATTCAAAAATAAAATCATTATTGCTTTCTTAAAAATAATAAAATTGTATCATAACATCGACAGAGACAAATAATAAAATATAACTTTAAAATCGAGATGTGTCTCGCTGCATTGCGCGAGTACTCTTCTAGTATGTATATATGTGTGTGTGTGTGTATATATACCATAGACCGGACCGGATTGGACCGTCTGGTTTGGCTATTTTTCAAACCAAGTCAGACCGCCATACCGCTCAAACCATCAAAAATGGTCCGGTTTGACTTGGTTCAACCGATTTGAGCAGTTCAACGGATTTTTTTTACACCACTAGGCGGAATTTGGTTAAAGACACATAAGAGCGACTTTACAAACATTTAAAGGTGCATCCGTTTGACAAAAATCATTAGTCCGCCACTAGTAGTTTTCTTTAACAAGTTGAATGAAACACTGCTAATATTCCCTTCGTGGAACTATTGGTCAACCTTACAAGTTTAAAAATATCGTTTTACCATTCACATAAAAATGGAATGCAATTATAATCCTTGGATGTCAGAATTTGTGATCAAATGTAGCGTTTGGATCTGTTTATGGCATTTGTCATGCCTTAAGAAATATCATGTGCTTATGGTTTTTCGTTTTGTATGTAGTTTATCGTAGGACAGTATTAACGTTCGTAAAGATGACAATTACACCCAAGATCTCCATTGATGGTGGCAACCTTGTGGTCCATGGGAAAACTATACTTAAAGGTGTGCCAGAGAACATCGTGCTGACTCCAGGAGCAGGTTCAGGACTCATAACCGGTGCATTCATTGGTGCAACATCTTCAAATAGCAAAAGTCTCCATGTTTTCCCTGTGGGAGTGTTAGAGTAAGCTACAAACTCTGTTTATAATTTAATTACTATCATGTTGGAGGTTCTATAAAATATAAATCGTATGATTAGTTTTAGGAATCTTTTGAAGTTCTGGATTATTTGGGCATTAAGCAGATACTGAGAAGATCCGACAAAAATCTAAAGTTCTTAATGATTTTGTAACAGGGATCTTCGATTTATGTGTTGCTTCCGTTTCAAGTTATGGTGGATGACTCAGAGAATGGGAACGTGTGGAAAGGATATTCCTTTAGAGACTCAATTTATGCTTGTCGAGAGTAAAGACAACAATGAAAACCAGAATGATAATAGTCCCACAATATATACCGTATTCCTTCCTCTTCTGGAAGGTCAGTTCAGGGCTGTCCTCCAGGGAAATGACAAGAATGAACTAGAGATTTGCCTCGAGAGTGGTTAGTCCCTTAACTTGACAAAAGTATCTTAATTGTAGGATTTTTACCTTCTAGCTCAAGTAATTCCATTTTCTCAGTCAAATAATTGAGGCATTAACTAGTTGATGGCATAATTCTTGTTATCCAGGGGATCATGCAGTTGAAACCAACCAAGGGCTCCACCTTGTCTACATGCATGCTGGGACAAATCCCTTTGAGGTCATCACGCAGGCTGTCAAGTAAGTACACTTGCTAGCTTGCTTATGCCTTTTTCATTGTTAGTATATCACTCCCAAAAAGGATCTTGGCTTTTAGGATGCAAAAGATGACATACTAATAGGTTTTCCAATAATCTGTGTTTGTATGAGAACTAAACTACTTTGGTATTTGAAACTTAAAAGACCTATTGCCTGACTTGTAATCTAAATCTGCCTGTGGAACAGGGCTGTTGAGAATCACATGCAAACATTTCATCACCGTGAGAAGAAAAAGGTAAGAAATCTCCCTCCATATCAAGTCCCTGAATGAGATGAGGATTATATCTAATTTTCTCATTTATGTGGCTCTTGTTGGTTGATATAATAGGTACCAAAATTACTCAACTTGTTCGGATGGTGCACATGGGATGCTTTCTACACCGATGTCACCGCAGAAGGTGTTGAAGAAGGACTCAAAAGGTAATTAGCAAAGGGCTGCTTTTTTTCATTAGGCTCTGTATAGATCAAGTATGAATTTAAGTGTTATTTCTGGAAAATAAAGAGAACCCAGGCATGCAAATGAACGTCCTTGGTTACTATTGCAGCTTAGCAAAGGGAGGGACTCCACCACGCTTCCTCATCATAGACGATGGTTGGCAACAAATTGGAAACGAGAACAAGGACTCCAACATTGTAGTTCAAGAAGGAGCACAGTAAGGAATCTTCTCAATTTAATGTCTGCTACAAGTTATTAGATCTTTGTGCATACTTCTGATTAATATTTATGTCTCTTCCTCAATCTTGCAGGTTTGCAAACAGACTAACAGGAATAAAAGAGAACGAGAAATTCCAAAAGAAGAAAGATAACCATCCCCCGGGTTTGAAACATGTTGTAGATGAAGCCAAGGAACATCACAATGTCAAGTATGTTCACCACTCTACATTTGTTTTTTTATTCTCTTTTGTTGATTCCTATATTCCTATGAATACAAACGTTTGCGTTAGGTGATAATTGGTCCTCCCTTTCTTCCAAGAAAAATACATATTTATCTTTTGAGTGTCGAATGAGTTACTGCGCATAAAAGTGTAGCATTTAGTGCAACTAGGGTTTGGTTCCGGGTGGTAGACATGCAAAAACTAGCAATGGCTTGAGAGTTACAATTCCTTTGTGTATTAGGCCTTTTGTGAGCACCAGGCTCTTAGACCTGCTATTTAGCAAGCGACTTTATACTTGATTTGTCTCACATGATACTCGTCGTACAGGGCTCTAGGCATTACTGGTAAAAAAAAACCCTTTTTTTGCACAAACTTATAGTAAAAAAGAAATTAAAAACTACAAGTAAAAACTATCTATGTTAATGTGCATTTGAAAAGAATGTTCAAATATCCAATCTGACATGGGTCATCACAGGTATGTATATGTTTGGCATGCTCTAGCAGGCTACTGGGGTGGTGTCAACCCAACCGTTGCTGGTATGGAACATTATGACCCTGCCCTCGCATACCCCATTCAATCTCCAGGTGTACAAGGAAACCAGCCAGATATCGTCATGGACAGCCTTTCGGTTCATGGCCTGGGTCTGGTTCACCCTAGAAAGGTTTTCAACTTCTACAATGAGCTCCACGCATATCTTGCATCATGTGGAGTTGATGGAGTCAAAGTCGATGTTCAAAATATAATAGAAACCCTTGGGGCTGGCCATGGCGGTCGAGTCTCTCTTACCAGAAGCTACGTGCAGGCTCTTGAAGCTTCAATTGCGAAGAATTTCAAAGATAATGGATGTATTGCTTGTATGTGTCATAATACCGATGGGCTTTACAGCGCCAAACAAACCGCAATCATCAGAGCCTCAGATGATTTCTACCCTCATGACCCTGCTTCTCACACCATTCACATTTCTTCTGTGGCCTATAACACATTATTTCTTGGGGAATTTATGCAACCTGATTGGGACATGTTCCATGTAAGTATACTGGCTCATAGTAATTATTAAGGGACCGTTTACCAACTCAAACTGGGTAACTGCTGACCGAGTAAGAGTCCCCGCCCTCTAAGATTCTCGGTCAGCCTAAGGAAAATTGTTGGTAAAAAACGTCTTCTCTCACCGGATAGCCGGTAAGAGATAATAAGTGTTTAGTAAACGGGCCCTAAATATTTTGAATTGAATGTGGCAGAACGTTTTTAAGCTAACCTAATTTTTTTCAGAGTCTTCATCCAGCTGCTGACTATCATGCTGCAGCTCGATCAATTGGTGGATGTCCTATCTATGTTAGGTATTTGTTTACATTTCTTATTCTTTTTCTTGACCTTATTCAGCCACAAAACTCATTGAACTCACTTTTGTTCTCTCTGGGTAGCGACAAGCCTGGGAACCACAACTTCAACCTATTAAAGAAGTTGGTTCTCCCTGATGGATCAGTCCTTCGTGCCCAATTGCCTGGAAGACCCACACTCGATTGCCTCTTTGCCGATCCAGCTAGAGACGGAGTCAGGTCTCGCGTTTTATTCCTATCTCTTACGTGTCTTAGGTGTTGTTTGGTTGTTTTTTCAATTAAGTACCGTATAGATTAAGCTTAAGTAGTTGAGCTGAATAAATAGTCCGGATGAATCTTGACTATCACCCTTATGTTTCCACAGCCTGCTTAAAATTTGGAATGTGAATAAGTGCAACGGCGTGGTGGGTGTATTCAACTGCCAGGGTGCTGGTTGGTGCAAAATCGAAAAGAAAACCCGCATCCATGATTCATCTCCTGGTATTCTTACTGCTTCTGTACAATCCACCGATGTGGATGCATTAACTCAAGTAGCTGGTCCGGACTGGCATGGGGAAACAGTTGTCTATTGTCAAAGATCAGGTAATGCACCTGGGATATACTGAGTTTGTTTGATTTTGGTTTTAAACTGTGAAAAAGGGTAGTTCACATTTATCTCGAATACTCGACATAACCTACATCTGTCCATTTGTATCGCAGGGGAGGTAATTCGGTTACCAAAAGGCGTGTCGTTGCCTGTAACACTCAAGGTCCTCGAATATGAACTATTTCATTTCTGTCCTCTGAAGGTAAGTATTTCTTCTAACCAATATCCCTAACAAAAAAAAAAAACGAAAAACGAACTCAAACTTATCGAAATCTATTTCAACAGGAGATAGCAGAAAACATCGTTGTTGCACCCATAGGTTTGCTCGACATGTTCAATAGCGGTGGTGCAGTGGAGCAATTCCAAGTCCATTTACCTTCAAACGCTCAACACTATATTGACCACTCCACTTTTACAACTGAAAACCGACCAGTGACTGCCACAGTTGCATTAAAAGTCAGAGGATGTGGTCGATTTGGATTCTATTCATCTCAATGCCCTCTCAAATGCACCATGGATGGCATCGACACCGACTTCATCTATGATTCTGCAAGGGGATTAGCAACATTTATGATTCCAGTGCCTCAAGAGGAGATGTACAAGTGGTGCATCGAGATCGTAGTTTAATTTACAAGAAATAACGAGTTGGATATCATTCTTCGTAATCGGAGTTATTAGTAAAACATCAATGATTGTTATTGGCTGGTTATCAATTACATATAATCATTGGTCAAATGGGTAAACTATTTTGAATCTATTTATAATCGCAATTAGGCATGAAACATGTGTTGTCGAATCTAAAGAAATTTCTCAAGAACAAAAGAACATCAATCACTTCTAGAAAGTTCTGAAGTCTATTAACATGTAACAAAGCAATTAGCAAAGTATTTTTAAGGTTTCTGTCCCTCCTCGGCAGCCGCTTCAAAAGTTTCTAACCCACAAGTTCCAGGACTGCATCATCGTCATCGACTTTTGTTGTAGCAGCAGCACCTGGTGTTTGCTTCTGGAACTGCTCTGCCAGCTTCCTAAAGTTATCCAAGTTATCATGACCTGTTAAAGATCGACAACAAATGTCGTTTAAATTTTCTTTCTTAATGGGAACACGAAAACCAATGGAAGTTTTACACTTACCTAACTAGTTATTACTTTATCAACCGAGACATAATTATTCAGCTAGTAAAAAAGGACCCACGTTAACCGAGACATAATTATTCAACTAGTATAAAATTCAAGTTCTTTATCAAACCAAAATAACCCAGTATAACTCACCCGAAAGTAAGATCTGGAGGTAACTTCATGCAAACCTTTTCTTTGCCTCAAGAGACAGAGACTTCCCAAAAATACCCCCCGACTTGCAAAAGATTTGGAAAGCATGTCTAGAAGCCATAGGTTTGCAAAATATTTCAAGTTCTTTATATGTTCTTGTTGCTTAAGAATGCCTTTTACATTTATGTGAAATTACAGAGCTGCTCATATGGTAGATTTAAACCGGTTTACATTTCTGTAAGCTTTTTTTTTGACCTTTTTACCATATAATTCTTTTAAAGATTGAACAAGTGATTATTAGCATTCCCCAACTAGCTTGGCAAAATGACAAATCATCGTTCGTATGAGTGATGCAAATCTAATCACGAGGTGTTTATCATATGATATATCATCGCAACAAACAAAAAGCTTGCAGAATGTGGCCTTGCATGGTACCAAAGCCATGTTAAGCTCGTGTGTGTGTATATATATATATATATATATGACTATATATATATATATATAGTCATATTCTACATTAGCATTAACTTTGTTAACCTTATTGGGCCAATCACATTTCACCAATTTATATGGTTTCATCCACGTTTCTTTATTAAGGGGAGGGTGTTTATGTCATTTTAAAGAAATTAAAAATAAATAGATATTTTAATTTAATAACATCATTGTTTGATAGTTTCTCTCCTTAATTATCTCATAGATACTTCTGGGTGAGACTTTAATTATTTCTCTCCTTAATTTTTCGTTTTCTTGCCTTTCATCCGTATGTTTCCCTACATCTCAAATTTATTTGATCGTATATTTCATCCATGATTTATATTTCATTCTTAAAATTTTGCAGTTTCAAATAAATTTTTTTTTTGTAAGGGTGTCCGGGCCAAAGCCCGACTAATCCCCGGCAAATTTGGAGGCTAAACATGGCCCCACTTAAATGTCGCCAACACTCCCCTCCCAGGGCTCGAACTCGGGTTCATGACTATGCCATGCTCAAGCCTTTACCACTAGGCTGGAATTTAGTGGATATAATTTTCCAAACCCCTTTGCGATAGTCGTGAAGATTGGGGTATTCAACATGTTCATAAGTGAACTCATGTGTAGAAACTTGAAGATTGTGTAAAAATGCATTTTCTTTCAAATTCTCCATGTAATTTTACGGTGAAAGACTTCAAATTGTTCAACGATGAACAACACATGTATATGAATTTTTTTGTTGTGAAAATTGATCTGTTTCACTAAATAAGATTTTGATTACCGTTGAACACTGTGGATGATACGTGTTTAATATTTTGGATAGATAAGATTGGTCAACAAAGTTAACACTCATTATTTGGTTAAAAAAGGAAATGACCATATATATATATATATATATATATATATATATATATATATATATATATATAGAGAGAGAGAGAGAGGTTGGTTATTATACAACTCTTGATATTTATGCAACCAATACAACCAAATCTCAACCGTCTATTTCATTTGATTAATATGTGATTTCATAGAAGTTTTGATTGTTTCCTATATAAAGTATTGATCATAATTAATGAACCCTATTTATATTCCATAAATATTTAAATCATAATAAATGAACTCTCATCGTTTCCAAAAATATCTCAATTAATTAGGTTGCATTGGTTGTATAAATGGACATGGTTGTATTTGAAATATACCCTATATATATTATATATATATAAACACACACACACACTTGAGATCATATGAGACCAATGGTTTTCCGTGAGACCCGTAAGACCAATTCTCAACCCTTGTATTAGATTGACAATCTCAACATTCATAATCACAAAATTGCCACAAGACTTGTCAATAATTAGAAAATTGTCACCGTACAACTTTAGACCATTAGATCATTAGTTTATAAAGTTGATCAATAAACATAAATTGGTCTTATGGGTCTCAAGAAAAACCCTTGGTCTCACGTGAACCCAACCTTATATATATATATATATATATATATATATAACCAGGGGCGTTCCAATCTTTTTGGAGGCCCTGTACATCCAAAACTTTTGATTACATTGTATAAATCAATTGACATAAAATATATGTTAAGAATAAAAATGGGCTAAACCTAACGATTAACAATCTGAAACTAAACCTAAACCATTAATAATTTGAACATAAAACCAAATCATTAATGGTTTGACTAAATAATTTCGGCTATGATTTTACATAGGTTGATAAAAAGACCTTAAACATATGTAAATTTGGGTCCCAAAATTTCAAAAGTTCTGTTCAAAATCTCATATTTAACATGTCAAAAGACGAAATTGTATATAACATAATTCATGCATAAGAAAAAACAACCGATCAAGAAGAAAAGGTTTGGCAGGAATTACCAAAAGGTGATTCAGAACTTGGATTTCAACTTTGGTGGAAACTTTGGGGACTGATTATGCAATTGACTCATAAATAGGGGATCAAACTTGCTACAAAGTAATAACAGAATCGACTTGTAGTGATCTAGGGTTTTATCCATTATATCTATCTATCCATCTCTTGCTTTCTCTCGCACTTTCCGACCACCGCTCGTTTCTCCGATCGACGCCGCCAAGGTACATGGATTTCATCTCGCCACTTTATTATTTCTTAGGCTAAACGAATTAGATGATCTTTTACTTGTTCCTTTTTTATATGCATATCGTCAGTATAAGTTGTCTGGTAATGGTCTCTTGGCATAACAATCTAAACATCTTAAGGATGCGAGTTTGTAGCTTGATTATCTAATGGAGATGCGATGGTGAAAATCGATTACACGTTCGTTTGTCACGGACCTCTGCAATCAGCTTGTCATTGGGTGCATATGTAGAAATTTTTATACATGAGTCATAACTGGGAATGGACCAAGATTTGTTGCTAAGAAAGCTTTCGCAACTTGAATTCAAACCTCAAGCAATTTTTTCATTTGTATGTGTGAAGCTCAGAAGTTAAATTAGTCGCATGGTTTTCATTACTCCCACCATCAATTCGAGACATTAATGAAGTTGTTGCTTGTCTTCATCTCATTAGGTGTCTATTGTCAAATTGCAGTGTAGGAATTAATTTGTTACTGGTAATAGTATAGTTTTCCTGTTAAAAACCCTCTTTGCCCATGCATGTTATGATATGTTTCTCATAAGATGGAACAAGGAAAGATGCAGAGTATATATTTGAGTTTTCTTTTTTATTTTCTACATATTATAAGTTGTTTTGATGCTCTTGAGTGGAATACCACAATTTGTTAGGTGCTTTGCATGTATCTTTTGTTTAACTTTCAACCTTTAATGAAGTCATGTTTTTTTTTTGTATAAAACAGTCAATTGAATGTAAAACATTTTTCTTCATGCTTTGCTACAATGTTGGGTTTATGTATGTTTGATTCAGGATTAGGAGTGATCTGTTGGTGCCGTTTATGTTTGTTATCCAACAAGCCATTTTTTCTCCACATGTTAATGTGGAAGAAGATATATTTACTTCTATTGTTTGTTCATTGTGAATAGCCGAAGATCATATTTCAAAACACCCACATGCCAAGCTAGCCTCTTCAAATCAACATACTGATAATTTTCCATTCATAAATATCAGAATACATCATCATCTCTTTCTTTTTTGGTTCTTGTGGCAGATGAATGTAGAAAAGCTAATGAAGATGGCTGGTGCTGTTCGCACTGGTGGGAAGGGTAGTGTCAGAAGGTTTCTTTTTCTTCTTATGCTTGTGTACTTTAGATGTGTGTATGTTATTGTTATATCTTGTAAACACATTCAGGAATCAGGAGTGAATGTTTCATGAAGTTCACAAAGACGATTCCATTGTTTTGGCTTTTTACAGTAAATCAAACGATTAACTAGCAGAACAATATGCCGATAAGCTTCATATGGCTTTGCTACCATACAAGGCTGGCTTTCTACAAGCTTTCTGTTTGTTGCAATAATGAACTTTACTTGTGGTAGATTAGAGAACACCTCTTGGTTAGATGTGCATATATTTAACACTCGGCACAAAAATGATTATCTGTTGATTGGTAACTTATTCAATCTTTTAAAGAACTATATGATAAAAAGTTTATGAGCAGTTCTATAATTTAACTTTTGAAATCATACCTGAAGTTTATGAGGGTGATCTATAGATTGGATGTACGAACTATTAACCAGACGAAGATGAAGGTTAATCCAATGCGGGCTTACACATGCTTTACCACAGGAAGGTTTTCGGAAAAGATCAGCATGAGGGCTGACATGTTATGAGCATGTTACAATAGAAGGAGATGACATCTTAACAGAGTCATGCATGTTAAACTTGAAATATTATGGAGGTTGAAATATTATCCGACTCATCAGTAGGTTCTACATCTTTTAGTCAATAACCACTATCCAGGAGATTGACAAAGATAGCCTTTTCTATTGGAATACTACCTGTTTACCACTTCAACTTGAAGACTTGCCTACTACAGTACTATTAATAGACTCCTAGAGTTATATATATATATATATATATAGACGAAGGATCGTGTGAGAAAGAGAGTTAAGGTGAGAAGTGTAAGAAGAGATCTGGATCCTTGATCATCTTCAATCTTAAACCCACCCATGAATCGTGTTTGATACGGGGATTGATCAGGTGCATCTCTTCTTAATGTGCATCTAAGGGTGGAGATCTCTTCTTACGCTTCTCATCTTAACTTTCCTTCTCAGCAGAGCCAACCCTACATATATATATTCTAAAATGCTTGTGCTTGTCACCATTTTTAAAATAGCATATGATAGCAATTATATTATCAAGGTTATTTTTGCTTTATTATTGCTCCCTTCTGGTGAGGTTATTTCTGAAACTATTTGGATGCATATAGGACATTCATTTGCATGTTTGGTTGATCTAGTCTAAGTTGTGGTGTGACTTTGACGTGCAGAAAGAAGAAGGCTGTGCATAAAACAACCACTACAGACGACAAAAGGCTGCAAAGCACTTTGAAAAGAATAGGGGTAAATGCAATCCCACAAATTGAGGAAGTTAACATTTTTAAGGATGAGACAGTTATCCAGTTTTTGAACCCCAAAGGTATCGCCTTTTGCTAATCGGTTCTATAGTATTCCTGGTTTTTTTTGGTCTTTTATGACACAGGAGCATTGTTCTTTCGTTTTTGTCTCAGTTCAAGCCTCCATTGCTGCCAACACTTGGGTCGTTAGTGGTTCTCCCCAAACAAAGAGTACTTTTTCTATACCTAATCTTTTTCCTGTATGCACATTTATATTTCTTCTCGATTTGTGTTTTATAATGTGATATATGGGTACCAAGTGTACTGGCTCGTGCCTGAGACTTAATATCATGCAAAGCAATATTTTTATACCCTTCTGGCTTTGAGGAAAAATAAGTTATGCACATATCTTGGCTACTTAACTCATTTACAAAAAAATTTGAAATCTGTACAAATGGGATACATCAGTTCGACTTTTCTTGGTTTTCTACTCCAAGTACTTAACTTTTAAATCATTCCTATCAATCTCTTACCCATAATTGCAATTTTCATTTTCATGGTTCTTCAGAATTGCAGGACATTCTCCCGGGCATTCTCAACCAGTTAGGTATGTGTAAAACTTTCGATTCTTTTTTTTGACGACTTCATTCTGATTTAGAAACAAATTAAGATAACATTTCCTGTTGATCATCTTGTGCAGGGCCCGATAACTTGGATAACTTGAGAAAGTTAGCCGAGCAGTTCCAGAAACAGACACCAGGTGCCGGTGAAGGTACGGCTGCTAAAACAGCCGAAGAGGATGACGATGAAGTCCCAGAACTTGTGGCAGGCGAAACTTTTGAAGCTGCTGCGGCCGAGGAAGAACCAAAGTCATAGGGACTTTTCAAATGGACCAGGTTACTGTTTTCATTTGCAGCACTACATGTTCTTTTCTCTTTAAAAAAAGAAACAAATAGGAACATTTAAGATGATTTGGTCCTTCTTTTTGCTTTTAAATCCGAAAACACCTCCCATCCAACCATATCAGGTTGCTCTTGAGTTCTCTTTTTATTTGCAGTTTGTATCATGAAGTATTTAGTCCTACAAAACAGTTGCAGTGCTGAAAAAGTCATTTTGTGCTAAATCAATGTTTCATAATTTCTGTGTGACTGAAGTTGCATACAACTTGCTAACAGCCAAGTTTGATGGAAACAACCGCTCTTACTCTTTGGAGCAGACGACAGAAATATCACGTGTTTTACCCGCTAGACTCTACCTCTGTGTGGGATAATACTGGAACCTAGTTACCAATGAGTAGTTAGTCTTTAGTTAATCTTTTTAGGGTGAACTACATTTTTCGTCCCTATGGTTTGTTTAAATTTACTATTTTCGTTCTTGTGTTTTCGAAATTATGGTTTTCGTCCTGATGGTTTACAATTCATTGTTGTTTTTTCCATGTGGTTTACAATTCATTGTTGTTTCCGTTCATCGTATTTAACGGTAAACTATTGATGAAGTTACCCTAAGGACGAAAATAACAATGAATTGCAAACCATAGGGATGAAAACCGTAATTTCAAAAGCATGGGGATGAAAGTTGTACTTTTTAACAAACCACAAGGATGTGAATATAGTTTACTCGTCTTTATTTTGAACTATATTGAATTTGTATATGACAAAAGTTATCTTGGAAGGCTTGTGTTTGTCCCACTTTCAATGATCAATCTTCATATTATCTTCACAACAATGACAGATTTGGATTTGCATTCTAGAACATCAAGAACATGTATATGAATATTGAGAGGAAAAGTCAATGCATCACAATTCAGTCAAACCTCTATTACGTATCTTGAATATTACAAATGAGCTCTCTCCCTACAAAATACAAAGACCACTCCTATTTATATGGTCAAACTACTAAACAATAGTCAAAGTCAAACTCCTATAAGAAAAGTCAAACACGCTGACTTTTACAATTATAGACAATATTTAACTTTCAAGACGAATACAATTAATACTAATTTTCAGTCCTAACAGCTTGAACTCTTGACTTTTAGGGACGGTGAATTCTATCTGTAATTCGGGTACTACTAGACTAATGACAATTTGGGGAGGACGAAATCTATCTGTAATTCGGGTACTGCTAGACCGATGACAATCTTTTCACTGTTAATCTTGGGATCATGGTTTCTTTCAAAAGAAATCTAACACAACGGTTAGTTGTGGTTCAGATCCGTTTTATGTTTGCTTCTTTTAAACCATACCATGAGTTTTGAGTCCACCAACATCTTGTAAAAGTCTTGAACGATATCCACCGACATTGTGATTGATATTTTAAAAAATATTACGAGTAAATCACGTTATTTGTCGTTCCCATTGTTTTGAACTTGTGGTTTTCGTTCCTATGGTTTTGAACCTGTGGTTTTCGTTCCTGTGGTTTTCGTCCTTATGGTTTGCACATTATTGTTATTTTCATCTTGAAGCTAATTCCTACCTTCAAGTATAAAGTGCTAAAATAACAATAAATTGTAAACCAATCAACGAAAACATAAATAAAGTCGACTAAACTACACTTTTGGTCTATGTGGTTGCCACCTATTATAAACTCTTGGTCCTCTTTTGAACTGATTACAGTTCTGGTCATTATGGTTGTCATTTTGTTTCACTTTTGATTCTCCAAATTATCTTTTGTAAAATAGGTTTGTTAATTTCAAGGATATTTTAGTCTTTTAACTAATTCTTTAAATTTCTATTAAGAAAATTAAATACATATATTATTAAAAGATTATTATTATATATTGTATTAAATTCCTCACCTTTTTCCCGAACCCCTACCATACCACCCATACCACCTCCACCCCGGCTAATCAGGTAACGAGGTGGGGATGGGTATTGTTTTTCATACCCGAAGCGGGTTCGGAAGAAATCTTCACAGGAGACTGTTTCAAAAACTCAATGTCCAGAGTCGAACCAAAATCTAATTTGATATAATAGTTTTCAAGAATGAGGATAAACAGTAGGAAAACATAACAAACCCATTTTTAATTATTTCTCAAGGCCAAATCAAAAGTTTTTATTTCTTCTACCTTCCTTGTTATAGGACTTGTTTGGGATTAAAAGATGCTTCAAACCCTATTTTTTGTTCCTTATTTCGAAAATCAGAATCCAGATCCAAAATTTCGTTGTTGCAAATTTTTATCGAAGAGGGAAAGGGAAAAGGTGGCGAAGTCGTCGTGATGGTAATGAGGGTTTGTTGGACGAGTTAGAAACCTTCCAGATCTGTTTTTGTTCGATTGCTTGTTGCGTCCACAAGGTTCCGATCTGGATGATGCGAGAGGGGTGGGTCGGTGTTTAAGTACATAGCAAATCGGTTGTATTGAGTGTAGAGTGATATATATATATATATATATATATAATGAAAATAAATGAATAAATGGCAAAAGACGGAAACACTTCCAAGTTAACAGACCTATTTAATAGAAGTTAGTTTGAGGGACTAAAATTATAATTAGTTCAAAAGAAGGATATGACTTGATAGTGGTGATAACAATAAGGACCAAAAGTGTAACTTACTCTAAAGTTTAAATCATAAAGCCAAAAGTAAGGAGATCGTTTGGTTCGAAATAATGATTTGTGAAGAAAGAGTCAAAGAATTAGAATGAAATGTTATCATGTTTGATCAAGTGTTTTGTGGACATGAATGAAATTTAATTTGTTTAATAAATTGGAATATTATTGTTTGGTTTGCAACAAAATTAGAATGGAATGATGAAAAAAGATAAAAATACCCTTTCATTGATATTTTTAATTTTTTTTTAATTTTTTAATTACAAATAACAATAAATTAACATTTAATGAGAAAAAAAATGTTTACCATTTATTGAATCATATATAAACATAAAACGTGTAAAAAATTCAAGCAACCATAAACCAAACCGTTCATACAAGTTGACACATCAAATACCCATATATAAAATATTGTTACGAACAAGTGTTTACACATAGGTAGAAGTTGTCGAACCATAGCATCCAAGCAATATGTAACAAAAATATTGTTCAAGCAATATAGATCGATCATTGGTCTAAAGTAACCAAAAAATATTGTTTTTAAATTGATCATTGGTCTAACGTAACCAAAAGAGAAATCAGAAATAACAGGTTTGTAAATGAGAAATAATCAAATCCCCCATATCTGATTCATTTAAAAAGCTGCAGCCTGCAAGCCTCTTATGTTCTATGTAATCTCTATGTATCACAATTGTATTCATCAACCAGATCTGATATCATAATGTGTATCACAATGTATTTTTGTCGTTATACGAAGTGTATCACAATATATTTTTGTTGTTTTACGAAGTGTAACACAATATATCAGATAATGTTTTATTTACCAAGTGTATCACACTGTGCTTTTTCATTATTTTATGAAGCGTATCATAGTGTGTATCATGTGTTGATATATATGGTTGTGTTTGACGAAGAGAGTTGAGAGGAGAGAGAAGAGAGAAGGGAGGAGGGGGGAGAAATATAGAATTACTAAAATGCTTTTAATTAATATTTTAAGTTAAAATTACCAAAATTATTAATTTCTTACTTTAACCTTTGATTTATGGTTGAGATTGGATCTCACGGTTACCACAAACTAATCAGTTTTTCCTTGAATGAACCCATATATATATATATATATATATATGTATATGTATATATATATGTATATGTATATATATATATGTATATGTATATATATATATGTATATGTATATATATATATGTATATGTATATGTATTTGCAATATATATACAGAGAGAGGTTCAAACGAGAACAATAATCAAATAAAAAACACGAAACGATAATTTATTAATTTAACACATTTACCAAAGAGTTATATTACATTTACCACTAAACCATATAGAGGGTTAAAATGATAATTTTTTGTTGTTCAAAGTTTTTTTCAAAAAAATTATCAAACAGTCTTTTTTGTACCAGATCATACAAAATCTCTTAATTATTCTGATCACTTAATTATTTTACATTAAACCATTCAAACTGTACCAAATAACCCATGAGTTTTAATAAGGCAGCATGATAATAAAGAAATATGTTTATTTATCATTAAAAATATGTTTTTAATGTATGAATGGAGTTTGCATTTATTTTAATGTTCAATTAACCAAAGATTTTTAGTATACTCTTTATTAGCAGTTTAATAAGCTTACCGATACTCAACTTATATAATCAACTATACATGACTGTTTGGTAGTGGCTTAATGATATAAAAAATTCTTATTTAGTAACCTTCTAAGGGAGCTTTATACAAAAAGTCTAATTTTATCCAAACCTGTCATTTCCAATTAAAAAGCACGCTCATTTCTTTTATGAAAAAACCCATCTTAAACAAAAATATTTATAATATATCCAGACAGATTAAGCCACACAGACATAGACATAGATAGGGGTGCTCAAAAACCCGACCAACCCAACCCAACACGAAAATAACTCAACTCAAAGCAACCCGATGTCTAATCGAGTTGTAAAATTTTCTAACCGTAGGTATTGGGTTGATATTGAGTTACTATTATTTGAATCCAACTCAACCCGATGAACCTGATATTCTTTTGTTTCTTGGATTTAATATGATTGTTGAATTTATGTTAATATATACATTAGACAATTACACTATCACGTACGCTCTTCATATACACATCTTTTCAATCTATTCACATCTCTATATAACTCATTCGTATATATGTTCAGTAACTGTAAACATATATACGTAAATAAAAAAAATTAACTGAATGTGATATACGTAAGAAGTATGAATAAATTGTATCAAATGGTTGATGATTAAAAAGAAATTATGAGTAGATAAATAACATATTTAAGGTTAGAAGAATATTTTAATGTACCAAAGTATCAACCCGACCAACCCGACCAACCAGTACGGTTTGGGTTGGGTTGGGTTGGGTTGATTTTCCAAACCGCAAGCATTAAGTTGGGTTGTTCAAATGTTTGCAACCCGATCAATTCAATCCATGAACACCCCTAGACATAGACAGTTATATCTATTAAGGAATTACAAAAAAAACCAAACACATAACCTATGTGTCCTCCAAAAAGGTAAAATGTTTGATTTGGTGAATAAAT